TTGGACAGATCGACCCTGAGTCACCAATTTCAAATTCGGAAGGTTTGTACTACAAGGATTGTCCACCATGCTATTCATATCACTGATTTGCAGACATGGCCAGAATTAGGGTTAGAATTTAGGGTGATAATATTCCACGGTAGAAATGGTAATTTCCATAAAAAAATTTAAATTTAATTGTATAATAAACGTTATTATACAATGGTTTATTTTTTAAATTTATAATGCTAACGGTAAATGGCGAACTAACTTTGCCTATATTTCTATCATCTTAGTCTTAAATATTACCAAAGGTGCTTTAACATTAAACTCAAACAATTGTTAATTCAGACCCATTCATAGAAATCATTATACAAACGCGTTACGTTCATCATCAAATCTTTAATAGACCATACTCCAAAATAGACCCTCAAAATAAAAAATCATACACAAGTCGTCCAATGTGAAAATTTTGGCCCTCCGGGAGTTACTGGAATTTTGCATATTATTATATACAACTGTAATTCTTATATTTGAAACATAACTCTATATTTGGTGTGAATATTTGGTATAAGTATAAACCTTATTGCGAAATCAACATTAATAATACTACTATTACACAGTAAAATGTTTCATATTTGTCCATCATCGCTTGAATCGCTTATTTTCATTTTTACGCTTATTATTACCGCGATGCATTCCCCTTCCACGACCGCTATAATTACGCTTATGTCGTGCACCTCTTCCAAAATCACGATCCCTACCACCATACCCTAGGTTTATAGGTTGGTTTCCAATTGTATTTTCTGGTGTATCCCATCCATATGAACTCTCTTGTGTATCCCATCCATATGAATTCTCTTGTGTATCCCATCCATATGAATTCTCTTGTGTATCCCATCCATTTGAATTCTCTTGTGTGTTGTATCCAACTGAGTTCTCTTGTGCGTTGTATCCAATTGAATTCTCTTGTGTGTTATTTCTTGCGTCTCGAAAAGAAACTGAAGGCACAATCTATATACAAATATTGTTATTCATAAATCAGTTTTTTCCAACATCAAATTCGAAACTTACCATAACTTCATCCGACGCCGCCCGCCCAACTTCTGCATTAAGATTCATTGCAAATTGATAACCAGAACACTAAAATGTAGGGAACGTAAGTCAAGCTGAATATTTACAAACATATAGGTATATTAAAAACTTACACGTGTGTATAGTCCCCTTTGTATTGAGTTTTCAATCAATTCATTCCAATGTTGATTTTTTTCAAGCGCTTGTCGATTTCCAAGAATAAACAATGAAGATTTGGCACGAGTCAGCGCTACATTCATTCTTCTTATATCCTTAAGGAATCCAACACTACTTTCTCTTCCAGCACGAACACATGAAAAGATGATAATATCCTTTTCTTTCCCTTGAAAACCATCTACAGTATTAAACTCCATTCCCTTGTATATATCAGTAGGAATTTTTTGAATAAATAATCGTTTTATCTCGGCAAGTTGCCGCTTATATGGTGTTATTACACCAATTCGGTTCCTAAAATCGATTTCTGGAAAATCGTGTATGAGC